TTCCTTCCTTCCTTCCTTCCTTCCTTCCTTCCTTCCTTCCCCACCAGTGCGGAATCACGAGGGGCAAATCCGCCTTTACTGCAAAGGGGCAGATATCATTCTGTTGGAAAGGCTTCATCCAGGCAACCGAGAATTGTACAACATCACCACTGACCACCTCAATGTAAGCAATCAGCACGTTGTGTGTATATGTGTGTGTGTGTGTGTGTGTGTGTAAATCAGGCAAAATCAGGCAAATATCTGTAGCAGGGACCATGCTTCTGATTTTTTCAACATTTCTGCCCCCCGAAGGACCCTCAAAGAAACCCTGACAGTGCGCAGATAGATCCAAAACGTTTGAGCTGCTTTTTAACTCTTTTTTTTTTGGAAAACCCACTTAATACGCTTGCTGATGCTAAAGATGCCCACGCAGCCGGAAGCCCGGTTTTATTTTAACCGGGGTTCTTAGCCTGAAAGAGGCACTCAAAAGGGCACGAAATCCATTTCCTAAGATCCTGCTTGGGCGATCCAGACCCTTTCAGCTCCACCTGCAGGGTTTTTGGGGGGATAAAATTGGAGAAGAGACGCATTATAGAGGCCGGGCACGAAAAAGATGGGGCGAAGGTGTCCGGCGTGACTTTGGCACGGCGAGGCGGGCAGGGGCTCTGTGCGGGAGCGAAGGCGGCCTCTTCCAGCCCCGTTTCTTCCCGCTTGCAGGAATACGCCGGCGAGGGCCTCCGCACGTTGGTGCTGGCCTATCGGGACCTGGAGGAGAAATACTACGCCGGGTGGGCCGAGCGCCTGGAGCACGCCTCTCTGGCTGGCGAGGGCCGCGAAGAGCGGGTGGCGCGGCTTTACGAGGAGGTGGAAAACGACCTGGTGGTGGGTGCCGGGACCCCCTTCCCCTCCTTGCGGCAAGGGCGCGGCACCCTGAGCCCCCGTGCCCCCTCGACCCCTTCTCCATCCTGCCCTGTTGGCGGGGGTGCAAAAAACCCCACCAACCCGCCCCACAGCTCCCCAAAGGGTCCGGTGCAGGTTCGCTGGAGCAAAATAGCACATAGTTCCCCCCCCTCTTTTTTCTCCTCCAGCTGCTGGGAGCGACGGCTATCGAGGACCAGCTGCAGCACGGGGTCCCCGCGACCCCCGCCCTCCCCAACTTGGCCCACATTTAGATTTTGGGGTTTTCGGGGGGCAAAGAA